CCGGACCGAGTCCTCCGACACATGATGCTGCACTTGCAGTGCAAATGATTGATCCGCGTGTGTTTTTATCCACCATGGCTCGAGCGGCATGCTTGATCGTGGCCGCGACGCCTCGAACATTCGTGGCCATGACATTGTCGAAGCCGTCGATGTCGAATTCCAAGATTCCGGTCATCGAGCCCATGACACCAGCATTGCTGAAAAAAATGTCTAGTCTCCTCCGCCGTGTAACTCACTGTCTCCTCGACCTGCTTCTCGTCTCTTGCATCGCAAAAGCGGTAACTAACCTTGTCTAGGCCTACCGATGCCACGACTTGATTCCCGAGATCATCCTGGACGTCGGTGATAACAACAAAAGCACCATGTTCAACAAACAACCTCACCGACTCCTCACCGATCCCACTGGCGCCACCGGTGATAATAGCTACCTTACCTTGCAACCTACAAAAAGACATACAACACGGCATATTAGTCTCTATAAACGCATTTGCAGCATTAGAGAAATACATATTATCAACCAGTAGAAAATATTAAAAAAAATATTTAAATTATATAAAATAAATAAATTTTTTATCGAAACGATTATCCCATCAACCTCTTCAGTTCATCTCTATTAACTTACCGTAGCTTTGACATCTGAGTCTGCTCGAACTAATTAATAGGAAACTAACTAATTAATAGGAAACCTTTCGGATTTGTGGTTCTGATCCAGTGAGCTTGTCTATTTATCATCTCAGGAATTGTCATGTATATTTTAGAAATTTCTTTGCAACAGGCAATAGTTTATTGCAGTTAAATTCAACCAAAGTAGCATCTTCACATGATTGCATAAAATATTAAACACCATTGGCTACGAGTCTTTATCTTTGTCATCACAACTGGTTATGGTGGCTAGCAGGCCGCCGGTCAACACAATTTTTAAATATTTTTTAGATAATGACTAAAGATGCTATATAAACATAATTTTCTTTTTCCTACTATGTCAACTCTCGACATTTTCTCTTTGGGAATTTTATGATTATTAGTTTCCTGAAAAAATCCGCTGGAAACAGGGACCTAGTTTGACATTTGCTGCTGTTTTTTTTTTACTCAATACGACGGGTAAATTATTTGATAAAATAAAGTAAGTTAAAATTTATTTTGGAATCTATCGTATTTTCTATCATGTTCATAGAACTAATCACAACGATGTGATAAATTTTAATAAAATATAATTTTTTATTAAAATTATCACATCAAGATAAAAAAATTCGAATAATTTTTTTATTAAAATTATTCATTTTGACGTAACGAGTATGCACAGTAAAAAATTGTCGTAAATCCCAAAGTAAAATTGTTTGTGCCTTATTTTGAAAGAAAAAAAAAATTACTATAACTTCACTGGTATGGCTCTTTAGCTTACCAAACAGCTAAATAGCATTATAAACTTTTATTTGACTCTATTTTTCTCTTCAATGGAATGCATAGAAATGGGTTCCTTAAATTTTACTGGGCTTTTTTTTTCTCTGTTTCTATTGCTAGTTGATTATACCCCCGACGCAGAATTTCATAAAGTTGAGGCGATTATAAGGTGTTCACTGTTTTCTTTCTTAATAATTTTACAGCGCGTGGCATTATGGTTGGTCTGTTAGTTTATAGCATATCTGATTTAATTTGGGTTTCTTTTTGTTTTACGGGATCTTTGAACGGAATAGACCATGGCGAGTTCAGCAGGTTTATTGGGTAAGAGCTACTATAACTTCACTAGTGATGTATGCATAATGCATTCTCATTTGTTTCCAGTTTTTTGTTACTGTCTTTTGAGTTGATAGTACTAAAAGGTGGTGTAATGTGACAATGTATCCTTAAAATTTGCACCTATGGTCTTGATTAGCATACTAGCAGTGATTTTGAGCATTACTTTCTTAAATTGTGTTCAAATTCAACCTCGAATAGGAAGCCTTGTAATGGTACTGAGGCATTATTCTGGCACTCTTCCATGTCAATGCATCGGTTATGCGGGGTAGTCTGGTCAGGTTATAGTGTGCATCGTCACTGTTTCAAAAGATGAGCTGATTATGCTTAATAAGTGTCTAAATGCCTCTTGGTTGGTTGACATCGAAATTGAGGTCTGTTTCACCTCAAGCCCTCCACGTTTACTCAGGAGATATGCTAACCGAATAGTGTCTTGATCTAATATTTAGTTTCTTTTCTTAAAATAGGCTCTTCTTCAAATGGGTATTCGTGGTGTTACGGTCTCTGATGTTCGAGGCTTTGGTTCTCAAAGAGGTTCAACAGAGAGACACGGAGGTAAGCTGTGGTTATATACAAGGGGCTGAAAGTTATACCTTTTGATATTTGAAATTCAACAGATTTTTAGTCCATTTCTCCTCTTTCTTAGACAGACTTCGGTTTGCTGATATCCCCTTTTTTAACTTCATGTTTATTATTAACTAGGCTCGGAATTTTCCGAAGACAAGTTTGTTGCTAAAGTCAAGATGGAGATTGTGGTGAGCAAGGATCAGGTATATACATGCATAATCCAAAGAGTCATTTCTCCTATACATGAATGATTTGGTATTATATTGATATTCGTTTCTAAATGATTATCCTGCCAAAGGTGGAATTCGTGATAGACAAGATAATTGAGGAAGCAAGGACCGGTGAAATTGGTGATGGCAAGATTTTCTGTAAGAACTCACTGCTTACTCTCTGCATCTAATACTGAAGTTCTTTATTTTCTTTCACTGAAATTTATGACTTCGAACTAGCAGGTTAAGTACAAAACCTCTTTGATGAGAAACTTTAGCCTAGTTTTGTTCTTTCGTGAAGGCAAAACGGTCATGCCACCAAACTTATGATATGATATAAGATGTGATGGGTTTATCAGATGATCAAATTCTCCTTTTTTGTTCTGGCATTCAGAAAAAAATTAGAATATTGATCGAATGCTGCTTGCCTAAGTCCAAATGTCAGCTGCATTTTGAATTCTCCCTGTTTATTCTTCTTTTTCTTCTCGTGTCCTAGCCATTAGCCACATATGAATGAATGAAATTGTTAGTAAAAGGGTCCAAATGATCTGATTTTCATGCCTGTAAAGAATTTAAGCTGTTGGTTGTCAATTAATACTGATATCTTTAAACCGCCGATCAAACTTCTGATCATGTTTGCTGCTTCTACAGTGATACCTGTAGCGGATTTTATAAGAGTTCGCACAGGTAATTTTCTGATAACCATTCAGGATTTAATATGAATCATTTCTTCGCTTTAGCAACTACCATATCAAGGATGATGCCTCTTTAAGCAAGTCCTCAGTAACTGTAGACAATTTTTCAGGTGAGCGCGGAGAGAAAGCTGAGAGGATGACCGGAGGCCGTGCTGATATGTCAGCCACTACATTGACCTAAGTTATGATATCAACATCGCTGATTAGCAGAGCATACGCATACTTTAAGCATACTGCCTGCTGCTGCATGTTGCAGCCATAGAGAAGCTTATGTACTGCCGTTGTTGTGTATTAATATTTTCTGATGCTGAAATGAATAATTAGAAGAAACGAATAGTCATGGAGTTTTACTACCTCATCAGAATTCAGCTAATAAAATGGAATTGAATAATTAAGTTATAGTGCCGTTCTTTAGTTCTGGATTAGGTGGGTCAAATTATGGTATTGGTCCCTCTAATAATTCAAACTTGGATTTAGTCTCTTTTTTCTTAAAAAAATTAATTTGACATAGTTTAGGCTTTTTATATAATATTCAATTAGGCCAAATAGTTACACCATTAATCACCCTGTTTAATTTCATGTTAACGTTTGTAATACACAATTTCATGCTAAAATTCAATCAGTATTTTGACTAGAATTTTCAACGATGTTAGTTACTTGGATTAACTGATGTAATAAAAGTAAAGGATCAAATTATGTTAAACTCTCTTAAAGTAATCATTATGCTAAATTATAGGAAATAAATCTCAAACCTGGAACATAATATTAATAATTTGACGAAAAGGGCTGCAGTGAATTGTGAACAAAATTAATTTTTTTGAAAAAACTTACTTGTAAAGATCTCTTAGGTCTCTATATTATCAAAACTAAGCAATTTGTCCCACTAAAGAAGCAATTTAGCCGTACGAATTTGAAAAGTGAGCAATTATTAACATTTTCATAAGTTTTATATAATTTTGATTGATATGATACTAAATTTAATATTTAGTGTTTACATATTATGCTAAATTGGTCCTAATTTTAGAAAACCAAAAAATGTAGCGTTCAACATTTGTATAATTTGTACATTATATGATACTAAATTTAATATTTAGTGTGGGCACGTCCCAGTTAGGTATTTGGGGTCCCTCTGGTTGCGAGGAATCTCTGCTACAAATTGTGATGGCTAGTTGGGAAGATTCTTGGGAGGATCAGGAGCTGACCTTCTAAATGTCTTTCATTTGTTGGTAGATTGCATCTTATCCATGCTGTAATTTTTAGTATACAAAACTTTTGGAGTAGGATGTTTTTGTTACCCTTCATAGTTATTAAGCAGGTTGAAAGGCTTTGCAACTCCTTCTCTAGAAGGGTTCGGAGGTTTCAACTCGAGGTGCTCAGGTTAGCTGGAAAAAGGTTTGTCATCCCAAGTGTGAGGATGGGCTTGGATTGAAGAATGTTTTGGTTTGGAATAGAGCCTGTATGATGCGTTGTTTATGGCTTATTCTTGTTAAAGTTGGTTCTTTGTGGGTGGCTTGGATTGAAGCCTATGTTTTGAAGGGTTATTCGATTTGGCAAGCTCCGATAAGAAATTGTAGCAGCTAGGCTTGAAGGAAGATCTTGAAGCTACGTGATGATTTTTCTCTTGTGGGAGCCTTTGATGGGCAACCCCAAGCTATGAAGGTGTGGGGGGATCTTAGGCATAAGCAGGAGAGAGTTCCTTGGTCTTGCATTATTTGGGGGAGGTTTATCAATCTCCCGTCATTCTTTTATTGTTTGGTTGATAATTTTGGATCGTTTGCCAACGAGGGTCCGGATGATGCGTTGGGGAGGTCATCTTGATCCTGCTTGTGTTCTTTGTGATGGTATGGATGAAACTAGGGACCATTTATTTGCTGAGTGTCTTTTCTCTAGGGGTGTTTGGGGTATGGTTATGCAGGCCTGCCAGGTTAGTGGTTCTTTCTATAGTTGGGGGGGGATATGTTTTGTTGGGTGCAGGAGCGTGGTAGGAGAAAGTCTTTGAGGGCTACTGTTGTTCGGGTGGCTTGGTGTAGCTACCTTTACTACATTTGGCAGGAGAGAAATGGTAGGATCCATGGGGCGCTCCCTAGGCATAAGGAGGGTGTGACTTTGTTGATTAGACGAGCTGTGGCTTCGAGGCTAAAGGGGTGTGTTAAGGTTGTTTCTTCTTCTTTAGCTTTTGCTGCTGATTGGGATTTGGTTTAGTTATTTGTTTTTTCTTTGTTTTTTTTCTTGTTTTGTTTGAGTTTTCTCTGTTTGTTGGCTCTTGGCAATTTTTGTTTTGGTAGGGCTGGCTGGTTATTAGTTTTGTATAGGTTTGTTTGGAACAGTTGTACAGGTAGTTCTTTTGGATGAACATAATCTTCATTTATCCCCAAAAAAAAATAGAGACCAATATGCCCAATTTCAAATTGGGCGGTACCTAAGAGAACTTTTCACCAAAAGTTTACTATTTATTGAAGTTTCTTTTAGGAAAAATATCTCGAGAGGAAATCGACTACCGACCTTTTATTTGCCAAAAGGACAGCGATAAGGTAAGAAGGGAGTCTGGGAACAATAAAAAATGGGCAGACGGCGTTCCGTTAAACTAAGTTTCTGTTTTGGATTTATAAGTAGAATGACCAATCTCCAAATACGCGTAAATTCACTGGAAGACAGCTCCTTCGATTTTGGGAGAGAGGTGTAGATCTTCGCTCCTCTCCTTTGATCGGCTTCGCGTAATAATCGATCTCGTTTCTCTCAGGCAAGTTCTCTCTCTTCTTAAAAACTAAAGAACATTCTCATTTTTCACATAATTTTTCCGATCTGTATTTTTTCTTTTAGAATTATGACTTTAATTTTTGTTTAAATACATTGAGTTTCCAATCCTTTGCGTTGTTTAATCTGCTTGAAGCATTGTGAGTTCTTTGAATTGCGTCGATCTTCGTTTTTCAAATTGATTTCCTGCAGTATTTTATTGTTATATAGATTTCCGTGTGTTGATCTGGAATAATGTAGGTTCTGTTTGGTTTCCGATTGCCACTCGAATCCTATGATAGTTTTCAAATATAGCCGTTGGATCTGCTCCGATCTTGTACACTATAATTATTTTGATGATTTGATTTTCAAATAAATTGATGATATCGGACTGAAAGGTTGATATCGGTGTTTGCAGACGTGAAAAATGGGGCTGTCTTTCGGGAAGTTATTCAGCCGGCTTTTCGCAAAGAAAGAGATGCGCATACTGATGGTTGGACTTGATGCCGCTGGTAAAACAACAATTCTCTACAAGCTTAAGCTGGGAGAGATTGTCACTACCATTCCCACCATAGGTAAGCCGATGTTTCTGCGTTTCGTAGTTCAGCATTAAGCCTTCGTTTGTTTAAAAGATGGCTAATTATGATATATTACTATTATTATCTTGTAGGTTTCAATGTTGAGACTGTGGAATACAAGAACATCAGTTTCACTGTTTGGGATGTTGGTGGCCAGGACAAGGTACCTTGTATTAGTTTTCCTCAATTTTATATTATTAACTGTAAAAAAAATTGTATCAAAAGGTTCTCATCTAGGGCATCTTCCGTTGTATTTTTTTATTATAATAGCCATGGATGGTAATGTGATGGTCTCATAGATTCTATCAACTATATCCTGATAAACTGACTACTTTGTAGTTTCCTGAAATGAGGTGACATGAATTGGATCTTCATTTAGTATGAGGTTGATGCTTAGCAATCAAAATTGTAGCTTCTGTTTTGTTTATTGTAGGTTTTGTTTGATCTTTTAGAATAATTAAAAAGGGGCTTATGGTGTTTGTTTATCTGTTTTAATCAATTGGCTTATTTGCTTTGATTTTCTACATAGATCCGACCATTGTGGAGGCATTACTTCCAAAACACACAAGGACTTATTTTTGTGGTTGATAGCAATGATCGTGATCGTGTGGTTGAAGCTAGAGATGAGTTGCACAGGATGTTGAATGAGGTATCTGAGCAGTGAAGTTTCTTGTTACTGTTCAAAATATTGCTTTTAACACAGTTGTGAGGTTCTTGGATGGAAAGGGGTGGTTCTGCCGACATTTAACATACTATTTTATGTGTGTTGGCAGGATGAGTTGAGGGATGCTGTGCTGCTAGTTTTTGCAAACAAGCAAGATCTTCCAAATGCTATGAATGCTGCTGAGATTACTGACAAGCTTGGTCTGCATTCTCTTCGCCAGCGCCACTGGTAAGAGGAACAGTTCCCCACGTCTCATATCAGACACTCTCAAGTTGTGGTTATTGTATATCATACTCTAGAATACATTTTGCAGGTACATCCAGAGCACGTGCGCCACTTCCGGTGAAGGACTGTATGAGGGGCTGGACTGGCTCTCCAACAACATTGGAAACAAGGTAAGCTCACACACTAATAACCTTGTAGTTAAAACTGAAGTTGACTGATTCTAAGCCTTTGGCTTCTTAAGTTTCTGATATTTTGAACACAATTTGCAGGCATAGACGGCATAATCGGGTTGTCAGTCTCACTAATTCAAGCCCCTTTTTGAGTTATATGGATGTCTACCCCTGTTTTTCTTAAGTGTTTTGGTTTTATATTCTCGCAAAACATTGCTATTTTTTTCTTTTAGTACAAGAAGAATTGTTTTTTCCCTTGTGGTATTATCTTTAGATATTGCTGCCAAAAAAGAAGGTTAGGAGTTAGGACCACACTTTCCTTGGGGAAATTGGTTGTTACCTCGTTTCATTGTTGTAATGTTTTGGTTTATTTGTTCCATGAATGCTTTTTTAAGCATGGTCACCCTTTATAGCTCATTCTTCACTGAGCTAGGTGCATGATGCAAACAGTTTCTTAACCGATTTCGATCATTCCAAGCTCATGCAAGGTTTTGAAGCTAAGTGGGCCTGGCCTGCCCAATTAATGGATTGTTGAACAGAAGATACACAAAGGCGCGGCTAAGATCTGTTTTAAGTTGGTCTTATTCATGCTTAACAATCAATACCCTACAATAAATACACGGAACTAATGCAGTATGCATTTGATCAATGAATTTGCATATTCGTTTCTTAAGATAAAGTTGTACAGGATTTTTCCTAACATAAGCATTTTTTTAATAGCCTAACATAAGCATTTAGATTAAACGAATCAATCTATATATCCTTTAAAACCAATCTTTATTTGTTACTAAAAGAATCTTTCTTCAAAGCATATTTCAGAATTAATCAACAGCTCATAGTAATAAAAATTAATGGTTGAACGTCTAATTGCTTGCAAATTAACAAAGGGTAAATTACATGTTTAGTACCTAAACTATCAATTTTATATGTTTTAGTATCTAAACTTTCAATTAAATCATATCTAGAGTTTAGTTTTTGTTTCATTTTAGTACCCGTTGTTAAAAACTTTAGTTTTTGTTTCATCTTAGCACTTGTTCAAAATTTAACATTAAGTTTTGAAAAAAAAAATGGAAGTTTAAGTACTAAAATGATAGTTTAGGTATTAAATGCATTAAGTTTTTAATGATAGGGTATTTAAATGAAATGAAAACTAAACGATAGGCGTGGTTTTGAAAAAATTTAAAATTTAGGTACTAAAACGGATCAAAATTGATAGTTTAGGTTCTAAGTGTGTAGTTTGCCCATTAATAAATTATTTTGGTACTTTGAAAAACAACATAAAATGAATTTAGGGTTTTTTTATGATTATATAAAATGTACAAATTAGACAAATTGAGAGTAGAATAATTCTAGACAAAAGATAACACAAAATGAGAGTAAGTCCGAATGAATCAACACAACTTTTGTAAAACAATTTTTATTTTTTTAAAAATAACTTGGCCCTTGAAGTTAATCAAAAAATTAATTTAGTTTCTTTACTTCATCATTAATATTGTGAACCATCACGTCAACACTATGAACTATCGTATCAGCAATTTGATTCCGTGACTCTTATTTTATATTATTTTGTAGAATATGTTGTCTACTCTTATCAATAGGAGTTCTCACAACTAATTTAAAAAAATTTGAACAGTTTGACACTTTGACATTCTTATTTCAAAAGCTCTCTCAATATTTTCTTTTGCTCAACTTTGTTCTTGGTCTAATTCCAGTAGCTTTCTACCTTACCAATTATCATATGTCTATATGTTCAGTAGTATATGATCTGCTCTAATATTTCTCTCCACTATACCCCCTACATTCCGTCTAACTTCTTGTTGTTGTTGTTGTTTTTTTTAAAACATTTCTCTCCACTAAAGAATCGTCTACACTACAATTAGAAAGATTGAGTTTTCAAACCCCAATAGAACAGTTTGCAAGGAAAATGTGATGCTTATTATATACATTAAATAACATTTATTTTCTCATCCGATACATTATATAATACTAGTTTGACTTTTTGATGCAGCAGAGTCGTGGTTTAAGAATATAAAACGTTCGTAATTACCGATTTCCACCCTTTGAGGTTTATTGTATAATTACAACTCAAATCCTATACCGTGTATTAATATGATTTTGATATTTCAACATGTTTCTATTTAGTTGAACTCCTCGCAAGAGCATGAAAATTGTCTTAGCTTAACAAATCCAATTTGTCGTCGCTGGGACGAAGCCTGAAGAGGTCAAGACGGCAATCCCCCAAGCGTGTGGAGTAGGCAGCCTTCTTGTACTCGCCCCATGTAAACGGCCTATATAGCCTAGGCTTCTGGGGTGACACAAACTGCGGCAGAGGCGATATGGTTCCGGTAAGAGGCGGGGCTCCGAAGTACATCATCGACATCCGTGAATTCCGAGTCGAGTTCGCCAACGCCCTATGCCTGACACTCACAAATCTGTCGTTCGTTAGAACCTGTCAAATAACCCCAAACACGGTTATAATCAAATTCAAATCAAATCAATTCACATTTTAAAATTTTCAAAAATATCATTTTATGTTTAGCATGCAGGGTGGCATTATTGTAACTATAAAAACTGACCCGCAAGGCATCTCCGATGATCACATAGAATTGAGTCGGGTCAGGAGGAACCGGGATCCAAAACCCATCATGCAAACAGATTTCAAGTCCAGCAATATCGTTGGATCGTAACACGGTGAGGATCTGAGGGTCCGAATGCTCTCCAAATCCTATTTGAACCTCTTTGCAAGCTTTAGAAGATGGGTCCCGATTGTTCACTGCCGGATAATAATTGAACCTCAGGACTGAGTCACTTTGGACGTCTCTGATTTGCCTACTGAAGACGTGCTTATCCGGGATCCATAGACCCTCGGCCACCAGATTAAGAACCTGGCTCGCTAGCTCCTTCACTGCTTCTATATAATCATTCGCAGCACAGCTGCAGAAAGAAAAGAAAATGGCACTGCATCAAACGAATTATCATAATATTTCAATTTATGATCAAGGAATTAAATAATGGTCCGTTACAAGAATAACAACTATTATATAAACATAAAGGTATGGATCGAAAATATTATTAAAAAATCGTAATATCCATAATGATAATAATACCACCGAAAATGCCATATTTAAATCATGCTTATGATTACTCGTTTGAAATGTGTTCATCATACGTGAAATTTTGAGGCTCATTGGAGATGGATTTGGAACGTTCAGCAATGGAGAAAGGATTGGTGTGGAGAAGAAGATACTCGAGTTCACCCTTATCGCCATTGAGTCCGATGTTTTTGAGACCGTAGCCAAAAGGGGTGGCCGGACCCGCCCGCTGCTTAACACCAGCTGGTTTGCCGAAAAATCGAACACCTTCAGCTTCCAGTCTAGATGTTACCTCCCAAGGGATACCATGGTTGATGACCTTAAAGATACCGTACTCCTCGCAAGCTTTGACGATCTGCTCCGTCACTACGGACCTGTCGAGTGAAAGATCGACCACCGGAATCCGAACTGCCTTGGTTTTCTTGGCTCTCATACAAGCCGGCGACGACACCGCAACCATATTTTTTTAGACTAAATCAATAGGAAACTGGAAGATAAAGAATTTAATGAAGTACTCTCAGCTTTTATCATGGCTGGGTAAGAAGGTGCCTACTATTTATACAAGTGAGATAGATTGAAAGACAGCGACATTAATAATAAAAGACCGATTAAGTATCGTACGTGTACCTTTACGTTGTTCCATTAATTTATTTCGTTAACAATAACAAAGTAATACACTTATAAATTTACTTGTAAATTTATTGAGTAACTTGATAATAAAAAAGAATATTATTTTTATTAAAAATCTTAATCTTTTAAATTTAAACAATTATATTTATAGAATATAAGTATATTATGGATTAGTTAGATATATATTATTTCATAATCATAACGTACTGATAAAAGAAACTACCATTCTAGTTTGAGTGTTTGACCTTCAACCGTATGTAAGTACCCAAATTGGCCAATAGGCATATATGGTACGCAAACCAAGATTTTCTAGCCCTAGAATTCAAGCTGGGCCATTCGCAACTAATTGCGTCTTTAATTGACTATTGGGTTGAAATCAAATTTTCTCCAACCGTATTGCGTTTAATTGCAAGTCTAAATATGAACAATCAGGAATAAATTTTGGAAGATCAACCCCATGACTTACACGAAAAGAAGAGTAAAGTCTTAACATTTGAAGTTATTTTCATCGTTGAAGCAAAATAAATAAAAAATATATTTTTTAAAGTAAATTCTTCTGTTTAGCGTATTGACTTATTCATGAAAAAAAAATTATATCAACTTATCAACGTATAGAAGTAAAATATTATAATTTTAATTATATTTAATAAGACTATGAAGGTAAGTAATTGTGGAATATTCTTTTCAATTGAAGTATAAAACTAAAATCATCCGGGCCATCGAATCCATTTAAAAATCAACTGAATGGAATATTCAAATCCCTTATTTGTTTATGGTATTTAGAGCTTTTGTAGTAAACAAATCTCTGCTCAAGGCTAAAGGAGAGTTGGTATTGTATTTAATCTCCATAGTGGCTGTCGTTGTCCATCGAACAACAAGGCCGGCCGGCTTGAAACATTTAGACCAGACAACGAAACTAAACTAAAATAAAATTCATGCGATGCGATGCCATGAACGTGTCATCCTTTCATGTTGTTAACCGGGGGCAAAAAAGAGGCTGGTTCAATAATCTTCCTCATTCTCCACGTGGCGTGTAATAAAACAACAGGCCACATAAGTCTGATTGCCAAGTTTTCACCATAAATAACATTGTTATAGAGTGATGCATGCTTTGAATCCCATTCCTCGTGCCATACTCAAATTTAATGTAATTTTTTTAAATTAATATTTAATGTATAAACAGTATATAATTTTATATATCTAGTAAATTAGTTAATGATCTAAATTATAAAATTTTAAAATTAAATTATATATCATCATCTCATTTACTAATATACACCATCAATACATCAACTGTTAATTCATTTTATTTTTTATATAGACGTTTATAACAGCCATGTTGACGCTGTTGAATTGAACTCATATTAGTCAAGTTTCATTTTTTTTTAAAAAAAAACCCTTATTTATTAAGAATATGTAATATGTAAAATGAGTATTATGTATCTTTTAAAATGATATATTTATTTAAATAAATATTACGGAAACTACATTAATGATAGAAGAATGAAAACTGATTTAAACTTATTGATTACTGCAGAGCCATTTATATGCATAACAAAAGCTACCAAACTCCTTCAAATGTGGATGAAATCTAAACAATAAAGCAAATGGTGAAAATTCAAAAAGTAAAGAGATTAACTGCATGATTATAGGAAAATATCTGTTAATTAATTCTTAATGAAAAAATATAGGATTATTTTTTATTAAGTAGAGATGTATTACATTTCTAAGATAAATATCAAGATTTGGACCCACATAAAGAGAGCTAACATTAATATTCTTAACTACTCGATTAATTAATAGATCATGATAGAATTATTATTTGACGACAATTAGTACAACATGCATGGTATGGTTACGGGTTAGGCTTAAGCAGGTAAATGTGAAAATTATATGAACCTGCCTCAATAATAAACCTTCTTTAATGAAAGTTAGTCCACCCATTTATTTCTTTTGGGAACCACCTGCTTCTTAACTTCCCTTTCATATATATATATAGGGCCGATCCAATGAATTTTAATGTCTTGGGCGAGATAATAATTTTATGCCCCTACACTTGTACCATATAATAGACAAAACATAAATAATTTTTTTAAACAAAAATGTAATAGAAATTATAGTCAAACAATATCAATACTAATTTTTTGAATCTTTGTCGCCTACCCTAAGCCTTCCATCGACCGATCAGGTGTTTTGGGCTAATTTTTTGAGTCAAATATATATATATACACTATAAACTCTAGAAAACTGATGCCCCTCAAACATATTGCCCCAGGTTAAGGCCCATCTGACACATATATTGGGCCAGGCCTCTCTCTCTCTATATATATATAATTACACCTGCAAAGATTATTGAACAATTAATTAATTAGTATATTTGTTTATGTGTGATATTTATGTAAAACCATCCTCATAATGATAATTTCTTATTCAAACGAGTCAAATGTTTGAAAGAAAATCTATTATCACATCTTTCGATCGTCATGGGTAATAAATAATAGAATTTTATAATTGATTTAAATATACATTTAATATTTAAATTAGCCATTTCATTTCAAGTTGATTTTTAAAGAAAATTTTGCTCCTAAATAGATTTTTTTTAATTGGTACCTAAAGATTTTTGCTCTCAACTTGGTATTAAAACTTTAGTTCTAGTCAGCGGCGGATCCAAAAATGTTTTTTAGAATGAGCACACATATATTAACAACATAAATTTTTTAAATAAGACATGTACAAATAAAATTTTAGGGTGAGCACCGTCCATAAAAGAAGTAACTAACATAAGAAAACTCATATTTCAGGGTGGGCACAAAAAAATTCAAGTTGGATACCATCAATAAAATAAATAACTAGTCGAAGAAAATTCGAATTTCAAGATGGGCACGTGCCTACCCTGTCGAATCCGTGGCTCCCCTACTGGTTCTAGCCATTATTTTGATACTTTCATTCACACTGTTAATTTGCGACAACATGGCAACTTTAGATTGTATTATATGTTAATAATGATATTATTATGTGTTTTTAAAAAATTAATTTTATAAAATATATATTAAAAGTACTAAAGCAGAGGATGAAATTAAAGTTTAAGCACCAATTTGAGAGCAAAAATTCTTTAAGTATTAACTTAGGAGAATGTGTCTAATTTATGTACCAGAGCAAAAACATTTAAGATACCAATTTGGAGAAAATGCCTAGTTCATATATCAAATGTACATTTTTTTTATTAAATGCCAAGTGTATATTTAAAATTCTACAATTTAATAATAGAAAATTGTTACGAATACAATTTTCGGTAGAAAAAATATTCCACAGGCAGGATTTTGATGTTGTGATATGAACATTTAGAGTTACAGGTTCTATAGTTTAGGATTAAGGATTTAAAATTTATAGGGATTTAAAGTTTATAGTATAAGGATTATGAGTTAAAAATTAAAATTTTCAATGGTTTAAATATATTAAATGACATTGAAACAAGTAAGGATGGACCAAATGGGGTAGGTGTTAGGCGAGCAACCGTTTCTTTGAAAATTTCAAATTCTTATATATTTTATAAGTTTTTTTTTGTATTTTCTATGAATAATCTATTTTCGTCTCCTAAAATTTTATAAAGTATCATTCCTAAAGTTTTATAAACTCATTCCCCTCATATTTTATTAGTTCAACCTTCTTAAAATTTTAACATATATTACCTTGTAATCTCCTTATATTAATGATAAAAAAGTATGCTTGTGAAATAATTTTGTGCATTAAATAATAACCTTTTAATAATAAAGCAAACAACTATTGTGTTAACGACTCTAGCCGGCAACCAAAAAGGATAGGTAGTCAAAATGCGTCCAATAGGTTCCAAACTGGTCGAAAACATGATCGTCGCCCCCAGGCTTTGTGTAACCAAGATTTGCCTTTGACATTTTCCCTGGCTCTTTCTACATGTCAACTGACAACCATAAATAAAATTACAGACAGTATTTCTTTCGCTGTCGTGGGGATATATATTCAAAGTGAGAGCCAATTGGAATGAGTTGTTAATTATCTGGTATGATTAAGCGGAACACTTTTGAAATGATGACAAACAGGGAGAAAACAAAGAAGACGAAGACAGTGCAGGCATCATATAGCTGTAAAATCTTTGTGAATGTTTGCATACGGAATGAATCTTGGACTTGCAGTCTGCAGACAGTGACCGTTCAAAAAGCCTACTTGCATTGCGTTATATAATAATCATGAGGCAGGTTAGCCTTATTATGTTCAACAGAATCTTCTGCGAATTGTATACACTTTTTGACATCTTTGTCTCGTAATTTTCAATTCCTACAAGTTGGTTAGCTTTTAGGTTTTGTCGTTCAAATATTTGGTATTCGGAATTAGAAAGAAACAATTCCAGCCAAGTGCCAGCACCGCCAAAAGCATCAATAATTGCTGATAATTCAGGAAAATTGATCTTTATGAGGTCAAGAATGAACCCAAAACGGTGTCGTTGCTTCAGTGTTTCCTAGCCTATATAGTGGAATTAAGGGCCGCCAGCCCCTTTGATGTTAGCAGGCTGAAAGACATTGATTCATGAGTTTTAACTTCTAATAAAGTCTTTAAGCTAATAAACGTGAGCCCGACGGGTCTCCCAAACGGTGTCGTTTGCTTCAGTGTTTCCTAGCCTATATAGTGGAATTAAGGGCCGCCAGCCCCTTTGATGTTAGCAGGCTGAAAGACATTGATTCATGAGTTTTAACTTCTAATAAAGTCTTTAAGCTAATAAACGTGAGCCCGACGGGTCTCAACAATCTACCCACATGAAGGTGAAGATCGATCCAGGTAACGAACATAATCCACGTGTAGCCCATCTGCAGAATGCCGGAAGGGGGTCTGCTTTTTAATCTGTGACATAAAA